CACTCGCGTAGCTCCTGCGGGGAGAGTAGCTCCCGCGTCGACGAAGCACCGCCACAGCCACACTAAGCAGACCAAGCACAAACCAAGGCTCCGTACCCCAGGCTCAACACCCCTAGGCTCCGTACCCCCAGACTCAGCACCCCTAGGCTCAGCACCCCGAGACCCAGCACCCCCAGGCTCCGCACCCCAGGCTCAGCACCTCCAGACCCGGCACCCGCAGGCTCAGCACCTCCAGCAGCACTAGAGTCAACAGCTACCTCGACAGGCTTGACTGCGTCTACCTTGGACACACCTGACGGGGCAGGACCCTGAGGGGGGAGGGGGTCTACCGGGGGAGGACCTGGCGCAAGGAAGAGCGGGGGGGGGGGAGGGGCGCAGCGCGGTAGGGGAAGAGACGGTAGTAAGGCACCGACTCGTCAAAGGTGACGTCCTGGGAGGACAGAACACGGCGCGAGGTGGGTGGTAAAACTGCCAACCAGGCGCGTCAGGGGGGAAGCCAAGGAAGACGCGGGGAACAGCACGGGGGGACAGCTTGTCCGTATACAAGTCGCGGACAAACGCCCGAGATCTCCAGACCCGAAACGCAGACGCATCGCCAACCTTCCCCGTCCACCGCAAGGTGGGGGAGGTGTCCGGCAAGGAGACCCGGGGCTGAAGGTTGAGCTGATGCGCTGCATACTGAATCGCAAACGGCCACAGAAATGGGGGGCAGCTGCATGGATCATGGACGCACGAGCGACGTCCATGACCATGCCAATGCGGCGCTAAGCAATCCCATTTTGCTCTGGAGAGGCCGGAAGCGTGAAGGTCTGGCGGATGCCCTGTGCACGTCAAAAGGCTCCCAGACGGGCAGAGGAACACTCCCCGCCTCTATCCGAGTGCAGACGCAGAACAAGAAAGTCCGAGCCGAAACTCTATCTGAGCAGGAGACGAGCTGTGCGGATCCAGTCGATCAACACCTCAGGGACGTCACCCTTGCTGCGCAAGGGGAACACCGTGGTGTAACGCGAGTAGTCGTCAACCACCAACAGGAAGTAACGCTCGTGTCCCTGGCCACAGACGCGGGCGGGGCCCCACACGTCCATGTGAAGAGTCTGCAGCGGAGCCTCTGTTGGAGGAAACTCGGAGGAGTGAGGGGCGGCGCACTGTCGTCCCTCGACGCAGGGGACGCAGGTAGGGGCAGGCCCCGGAGGTAGGGGAGGTAGGGACCGGGGGGACCAAAGACAAGGACACGTGAGGCCATGCCTCGGAGACGAGGCAGGAGGGGTGACCAAGGCGGTGGTGCCAAAGGAGAGTCTGGTGGGACAGGAGACGACACGAGCAGGGCGCAGACTCAGGACCAGACCTGGACGCTGCAGCTAACACCTGACTTGACGCAGCTACCTGACCAGACTCAGCAACCGGAGGAGACTCAGTATTCAGTGTGTACAGGCTCGACCCCGGCCGACGGGTAAACGTGGCCAAGTGTCGGCCCGTCCGAGCACACATGCAGTGGGTCACCCGCTGACTCGCAGGAGTGAACTGGTCAACCCCCCTATCCTGTAGATCAGCTCCACTCACCAAGTTCGTAGAGAACGAGGGAGGTAGAGACCTGACAGGGTGCCAGAGGGGCTGCCGGGCACGGTAAGACAGTGGAGAAGCTAGCAAGGATAGGACCCCCAGAGGGGTCCGCGAGGGAGACCGCAACCGGCCGACTAAGCGGCGTAAGCGTGGTGCGGTCTTGAAAGAAGGAGCGGGAAGCACCCGAGTCAAGAGTGAAGGTGTGTAAGGCCTGAGCCGACGTGGTACCTGAGAGAGCAGACTCACCAGCACCTGGGGCCACCACACGCACTAGCATCTAGACAGCAGCCTCACCAGCACCTAAAGCAGCAGCCTCAATGCCCGGGTCAGGCGGAACACACAGGTAAAAGTCACCCTCATCACTAGTAGACACAGCATACATGGCAGCAAGAATAGCATCATAATCAAGATCAAAGATACCACCCCCGCCCTAGACAGATCTCCCCAGCGAGGGATCTCAGTGGCGTCAGAGAACTGGTGACGCCACGCTTCCGTCAGGCGGCCGAAGCAGCGCTGGGTGGAGTGCGGGCCCCCACACTGCTCACCAGCGCGGTCGCCGGTACGGAGGACGTAGGTGCAGGGACCAGTGCCCCCACCTCGCTGACGCCCAGCGTACCACTCACGAAGCTGCTGGGGGGACGGGGTCTCACGACTGCGTTGCTGCTGCTGGCGCGGACCACCAACGGAGCCACTCCTCTGCGCAAAGCCGCGACCAGCTCCACCGCTGCCTCTGCCGCCTCTCCGCCACCTCCGCCGCCTCCTCCACCTCCACTGCCTCCGCTCCCTCCGCCACCGCCGCCGCCTCCTCCGCCTCCACCACTGCCACCGACACCTCCACCCCCGCCACCACTCCACCACCACCCCCACCCACTCCACTACCCACCACCACCTCCACCGCCCCCGCCAGCCCCTCCAACGCCCTTGCCCCCCTTGCCCTTGCCGGTGTGGCGTCTCCCGCTAGAGGCAGACGCAGCGCCGACCGACTCCTAACCAACGAGGTCAGCCGTAGTAGCAAAAGCAAAGAGGGCAAGAGGGGGGAGGGGGAACACCCCTCAAAGACGGGGGTGCGAGGGTCACTACGAGAGGCTCCTACAGCATCTATGCTTTTTTCTGCTGATAGGAGGCGCTCATCGAGGAGGTCAACGGTGAGTGTTGTGGGGCAAACTGAGAGGAAGTGGTCCCTGACTAAGCGAAGGGAGTCAGGGAGCCGGGTGACTATGTAGTAGAGGGTGATGTACATGGGGGGAGGGTTCTTGGCACAAAATTCAGCAGGAAGCGTAGCGCGGTAGCGAGTGTCGCTAGTGCGAAGGTGCGTAATGAGGTCAGCGACTGTGGAAAGGCAGCAAGGTCAGGGAACAGGTACGGCAGCATGAGGCGGCTAAGCGTAGCAGTGGCAGGGGAAGAGTAGCGTGCAACTACAGCGTCGTACAAGGTCTTAGCACTCTTGTACTGGCTAAAGTGCGCACGCTCAGTGGTCGGTAAGTGGCGACGTACAGCAAGACGGGCAGCAGCATCGCGTGTGGCCCACTGTGAGCGAACAGTGCTGTCAGCATCGGCAGGCGGGGCAGGAGAGGCACTAGAGGTGAGATCAAAAAGGGAGAGTCCGTCTGCACTATCGCACTGTAGGAGAGCTGGAGGTCACCGACCCAGACCTCAAAGTCAACAGCACGACCTTGAGCATCAAAGGTAAGGACACTGGGGGTAGCCATGACTGAAGTGGCCTAGCAGGGAGTGATCTCACCAGTCCGAGCAAGTAGGGCCGGGGCGCGCCGGTAGGAACAGTAACGGCCCAACGGCAGGGCGGCTCGGCGGCTCGGTTGTTGGGCGGCTCTGCGGCTCGGCTGCTGGCGGCTCGGCGGCTCGGTTGCTGGGCTGGCGGCTCGGCGGCTCGGCGGTGTCAGAATGTTATAATTATCTAGCATGTAGAGGGGTGCTCTATAGCGAGTACAACCCTGTTAGGGTTTGCGATATGTATCCCAGCTGCTGCTAGTGAGATCCTCCTCTCTTCTTCATTCTCGTTTCACATGCTATCAGAGCATCTACGGTCCTGGCCTGTGGGCCACCTAACTGCTTCCGCTGCTACTCTGTGCACTACATGCCCCGTGGCGTGCCCCTCGCGCGACCCTTAGTGCCCCGTCGCCACCCCCCCCGCGGCCCCGACTCGCCGCCCTTCTCGCCCCTCGCGGCCCCTTCGCGGCCCCGTTGCCGCCCTTTCAGGCCCCTCGCGGCCCCTTCGCGGCACTTGCCGCCCTTCCAGGCCCTCGCGGCCCCTTCGCGGCCCGTCGCCGCCCCTATCGGCCCCGTCGCCGCCCCTATCGGCCCCGTCGCCGCCGCCAGCGGCCCCGTCGCTGACCTCTCAGGCCCCTCGCGGCCCCTTCGCGGCCCCGTCGCCGCCCCTATCGGCCCCGTCGCCGCCCCTAACGGCCCCGTCGCCGCCCCTATCGGCCCCGTCGCCGCCCCTATCGGCCCCGTCGCCGCCGCCAGCGGCCCCGTCGCCGACCTCTCAGGCCCCTCGCGGCCCCTTCGCGGCCCCGTCGCCGCCCCTATCGGCCCCGTCGCCGCCCCTAACGGCCCCGTCGCCGCCCCTATCGGCCCCGTCGCCGCCGCCAGCGGCCCCGTCGCCAACCCTAGCGGCCCCGTCGCCGCCAGCGGCCCCGTTGCCGACCCTAGCGGCCCCGTCGCCGCCCCTATCGGCCCCGTCGCCGCCTCTAACGGCTCCGTCGCCGCCACTTGCGGCCCCGTCGCCGCCCCTTTCGGCCCCTCCTCGACCCTGCCCCGGCCCCGCCTCGGCCATGCCCCGTCGCCAGCCGCGGCACACCCGGGGCACGTGCACCGCCCCCCCCCCCTTTTCTCGTCGCCAGCCGCGGCGCACCAGGGGCACGCGCACCCCCCTCCCCCCCCCCCCCTTTTCTCGTCGCCTGTCGCGGCTCCTTCGGGGACCTGGGGGAGGGGGGCGAGCATCGCCCCTTCTGCCGCCTGTTTTGGCGCCCTGGGAAACCGCGCGCCCCCCCCCCCCCCCCCCCCCCCCCCCATAACTTCCCTACCCGCCGTCCCGCCCTGCCCTGTGTTAGGGTCTGGGGGTGGCGAGTAGGGGTGACGGTGTGTGGTCTCCCCTGCTCCTCCTCCTCCTTCGTCTCCCACTACTGCAGCTATCGCTGAGGGGGGTGGATGTGTGGGAGCCTGGGGTTTAGGGTTTAAGGGGGGTGCTGTGGGAGTGGAGCTAGGGTTTTGAGGGAGGTGGATGTGTGTGAGCCTGCGGTTTAGGGTGTAAGGGGGGTGCTATGGGAGTGGAGCTAGGGTTTGAGCAGGGGGTGTGTGTCGAGAGGTGTGGGGCAGCTGGAGGAGGTTGGTTGAACGGAGGTTGTCGTCGTGTCGTCAGCAGCACCAGTAGTCCGGGGCGCTGCTCCGGTAGCCCAGTTGTAGCCAGCTGTGTCAGTCGCCCGTGGGTCCATTGCTCGTCTGCCGCTAGTCTTAGCCGCGGAGCCAGTTACTCCAGTAGTCCGGAGCGCTATTCGGGTAGCCGCTGTGCCAGTGTGACTCCTGTTGCCCATGCGTCTGCAGCTTCAGCCGTCGCCTCCTATCTCCTCTCCTCTCACAGTCTCGCCTCCTCCTCCTCACTTGCCCTTTGTGAATGACTCTAGCTTTGCTCGCTATTGTGAACTCCTGCTCTATGCCTGCTTGCTCATTGTGCTGATTACACCCCACTTTGGCTATGGGGTGTGTCAGAATGTTATAATTATCTAGCCTGTAGTGGGGTGCTCTATAGCGAGTACAACCCTGCTAGGGTTTGCTATATGTATCCCAACTGCTGCTAGTGAGATCCTCCTCTCTTCTTCATTTCTCGTTTCTTCACAGGCGGCTCAGCTGCTGGGCGGCTGGGCAGCTCGGTGGCTTGGTGGCTCTGTTGCTCAGCTGCTGGGCGGCTTAGCGGTGAAGGGGCCGGTAGAGGCGGCGACGGGGCCGGTAGAGGCAGCAATGGGGCCGCTATGGGAGGCGACGGGGCCGCTAAGGGCGGAGAGGTGGCCGCGAAGGGCGTCGACGGGGCCTCCACGGTGGCGACGGGGCCGCTAGGGGCGGCGACGGGGTCGAGAGGGGGCGCAAGGGGCCTAGAGGGGCGGCGACGAGGCCGCAAAGGGGCCGTAAGGGGCCTAGAGGGGGCGGCGACAGGGCCAAGTGGCGGCGCAAGTGGCGGCGATGGGACTGCGAAGGGGCCGCGAGGGGCCTAGAGGGGCGGCGACGGGGCCGCTAGGGGCGGCGACGGGGCCGCGAAGGGGCCGCGAGGGGCCTAGAGGGGTTGCGACGGGGCCTAGAACGGCGGCGACGGGGCCGTGAAGGGGCCGCAAGGGGCCTAGAGGGGCGGCGACGGGGCCTAGAGCGGCGGCGACGGGGCCGTGAAGCCTTTAGGAGGGCGCGACGTGAGGGCGGCCTACGGGGCGCGCCTCAGGCAGGAAAAAAGATCGAGTTAGGTGGTGGGCCCTGAGAAGCGTTCCCACGAGGAAACCTGCTCTATACCATGTGAAGAATGAGGAATGGATGAACTAGGAAAGAGGTGGGTACAAGTAGGAAAACCTAGAAATGTTGTACCCCATATAGTCCACCCCACTACAGCCTACACAGACTATAGCATATAAGTTTGACACAGCGGACCTCTGACACCCCCCCGCACTGGGATGCCCAAAGTGCACACACTGGGATTCGAACCTAAGACCTTTGCTTTGATACCATGTCAGAATCCCAGCCAGGCCACTGGATAAAAAGGCTTGTTAAGTAGTGGGTCAGTGCGCCCAAAACCCCCCAAGCCAACATGCAGGGTCCTCGCTAGTGACAGAACCCGCCTGACGCATCAGACAATTTAGTTAGGGCCCGCCTTTTGCATCAGATATTAGAATTTGTCCTAACTTATAAGTCAGAATTTTTTTTAAGGCCTACTCTATGTTTACCAACAAGATTCTAGAAACCATTCTACATTAGTCAGGTCAGATTCTAAGCTACCTACACTATGAGTCTCTGAAGCACCATCACTTACCTACTCAATGTCAGAATCACTGGAGGGTTAGCGTTGCACGGACATCCAGGCCATCATCTTCACGATCACTTTCTGGAACCTTGTCCCTCTTGCGACGCTTCTTAATAGCAGGGTATGACTTCTCGGCTGCCTCTGCCTCTAGTGCCACGTCATCTGATTTTGTGGCCAGCCCCTTGCGCTTGTTGCCCTTCTTAGCCACACCAGTGACTTCCTTTGCAGGGCGCCGCTGCCTTGCACCACGCCACAGCTTAACTACATCGTCCCAGTCTGGCTCGTACTGCAGGAGAGAGATACACATGAGATCAGCAAGTCTGGCATCGCACAGGTTGCCACGAAGCCAGAACTTGACGTTTTGGCGACTGAAACCACGCTCTTACTCCACTGTGCTGAGCGGTATCACAGAGACGGCCATCCACAAGCGGACGAGGCTCGGGTACGTGTGAGAATTGAGGAATGAAGAAGAGGGAGGGTTCACTAGCAAACATTGGGATACATATGGCAAACCCTAAAAGGGTTGTACTCACTATAGAGTACCCCACTGCAAACTAGAGAAACATAATATTCTGACACACCCCCATAGTCAAAGTGGGGTGTAATCAGCACAACAAGCAAAGCAGAACAAGCTAAGGGTGGATCACAATGTTACCACACATTCTGAGCACAAGTACTAGAAGCAACAGTTTAAAGTTCACAAATGTAAGAAAAGCTAGAGGCTATCGCAGAGGGCAAGTGTGGAGAAGGAGGGACTATGAGAGGAGAGGAGGTAGTGGGCGGCAGCTGAAGGTGCTGGCACATGGGCGGCAGCTGAAGGTGCTGGCACACGGCGCAACTGGAGCAACTAGCACACGGGCAACTGGAGCACCTGGCACACTGGCAACTAGAGCACATGGCACACGTGCTACTGGAGTAACTGGCTCCGCGGCTAAAAGTAGCGGCAGACGAGCAACGGACTCACGGGCGACTGGAGCAACGGGCTCACGGGCGACTGGCGGAACGGGCTCACGGGCGACTAGCACAACGGTCTCACGGGCGACTGGGGCTGCGGGCTTCACAGCGGCCACCCCCTTTCAACCTCCCTAAACTATCCCACCCCCATTTCACACACCTCCTACTGCACCCTAGGTTCACTCACACACCCCACCCCCTAGCACCACTCCGTCGACTCCCACACACCCACCCCCCCTCAGCGGCAGCTGCAGCAGTGGGAGACAGATGAGGAGGAGGAGTAGGGGAGACCACACACCCGCCACCCCCTACTCGCCACCACCCCAAACCCTAACAGAGGGCAGGACGGGATGGCGGGTAGGGAGGTTACGGGGGGGGAAGGGGGTGGGGGGGGGGGGCGACGCGCGGGCCTCCAGGGCGCCAAAGCAGGCGGCAGAAGGGGCGACGCTCGCCCCCCCCCCCCCCCCAGGTGGCCCCCGAGGAGCCGCGACGGGCGACGGGAAAAGGGGGGGGGGGGGGGCGGTGCACGTGCCCCCGGTGCGCCGCGGCTGGCGACGGAGCATGGCCGGGGCGGGGCCGGGGCCGCAAGTGGCAGCGTCGGGGCCGCTGGAGGCGGCAACGGGGCCGATAGGGGCGGCGATGTGGCCGTAAGTGGCGGGGACGGGGCCGATAGGGGCGGCGACGGGGCCGCTAGGGTCGGCGACGGGGGCCGCTTGGCGGCGACGGGGCCGATAGGGTCGGTGACGGGGCCGCTGGCGGCGACGGGGCCGATAGGGTCGGCGACGGGGCCGCTGGCGGCGACGACGGGGCCACTATCTGCGGCGACGTGGCCGATAGGAGCCGCGACGTGGCCGCTAGGTTCGGCAATGGGGCCGCTGGCGGCGGCGACGGGGCCGCTGGCGGCGGCGACGGGGCCGATAGGAGCGACGACGGGGGCCGCTAGGGGTCGGCGACGGGGCCACTGGCGGCGTCGACGGGGCCGATAGGGGCGGCGACGGGGCCGCGAAGGGGCCGCGAGGGGCCTGGAAGGGCGGCGACGGGCCGCGAAAGGGGCGGCGACAGGGCCGCGAAGGGGCCGCGAGGGGCCTAGAAGGGCGGCAACGGGGCCGCGAAGGGGCCGCGAGGGGCCTGGAAGGGCGACAACGAGGCGCGCTAAGAGTAGCGCGAGGGGCACGCCACGAGGCGTGCCGACTCAGAGTAGCAGCGGAAGCAGTTAGGTGGGCCCACAGGCCAGGAGCGTAGATGCTCTGATAGCATGTGAGAATTGAGGAATGAAGAAGAGGGAGGGTTCACTAGCAAACATTGGGATACATATGGCAAAACCCTAAAAGGGTTGTACTCACTATAGAGTACCCCCCTGCAGACTAGAGAAACATGATATTCTGACAGTACGACGTCTCCCAGTCACTGCTTCGTAGCATGTTCTTGAGGCCTGCGTGGAAACTCTGATCCTTGTATTGGGCGTACATCATCCATGTGAAGCGCGGCAGTTCCCGTTCGGCCTTCTTCCAGCTGACACCTAGCAGGCATAATGAAACGAAACAAGCAGTCAGTGCTCAGAGTGGTCAACGATGTACACATCCACAGTTACAAATCAACACGTAGAGAGCTTGGCGGCAATGCGGATGCGTACCAGGCAAAGCACAGTTATCGCCATTGAAGAGCGTGCGAAGGGAACGGAACCACTCCCTAGTGACGCGATCACGCTTTGCAGCACCATCTGGATAGGCGTCAGGCAGAAAGAGCTTAGAACCAATCAAGGTCGCCAAGCTCTTAAACCGGAACTTGAGGCGGCCAACCACTTCCTTCGCAAATTTGGTGGCAAGTCGCACACACGATTCCAAACCCGGTGGTGATTTCACGCATAGGATTGGCAGCTCGTGCAACAAGAAGGTGTGAGTGACGGCGTTGCCTTTGCTGTCCATCCCCTCCAGTTTGACTTCACGGCGGGAGGGATGCGTGCGTTTTCATGGAACGCAGTGAGATGGTCGTTGTCCTCTGCAAAGCTGACACCGTACTCCACGTAGCGCGCCGTCAGCTTCGCGCATGTGTTCTCCACCATCCCTGACACTCGAATGACGTCCACCTGAAACAAGTTGAAGTACTTGATGCTAGCACAAACCGATTGTACGAGTCCAAGAAAGATCGCTTGACAAATATACAATTACCAGAACTCACTGCGCGCCTCTGAAATTTTATGTTGAGCTCATTCAACTCCTTGAGGATGTCGGCAATGAAGTACAAGAGGAAGTGAAACTTCAAACTTGTCACCATGTGATACGTATCCTTGTCCTACTCATGCAGTAACACGATCATCAAGGGAAGGACGGCCACAAAGCGATCGATGGCGTCTCCACGCGATAGCTAGTGCACGTCTTTGATACCCTGCATCTCCAGCTGCGTCGCGTGCAGAACCTGTTGGAGCTCGAGAAAGCGAGAGTGGACGACGGAGCTGTTCATGATGAGGCTCGCCACAGAACGAACAACCTTGTCGACGATGTTGAAGTCCTTCGCGTTAGTTGCCGCGTCTTTAGCTGCCAGGGCCTCTCTGCACACACAACAAAAAGAACAATGAGGGGGTCTACGTGGGTATTCATGTGGGAGGGCACATACTTGTTTAAACCAGTACGACTCACCGTTGTGTGAAGTTTAGAACAAGAGAATGATTTAACTATGAAACAATTGGGTACAAGTACTAACCCTAATTGGATTGTACCCCTTATAGGGCTACCCCACTACAGCCTACACAGATGTATAAGCTATAATGTTCTGACACACCCCCATAGGCAAAGTGGGGGAGAACAAAAGGTCAGAAGACCAGACAAGCAAAGCAAAGCAAGCTCAGGGTGGATCACAAAGTCACCATACAGTCCGAGCACAAGAGCAAGGCCACAAGGCCAGTTCACATGCAAGATCATATATAGAAAGGTAAACAAGCAAGTGCAAGTATAGCCAGAGTACAGTACAAACAAGATCAAGAAGTGAGCAAGTGAGGCCAGGTAGGCACAAGACCTAGCAAAGTACAGAAGTGTTGATGATCACAAGGCGGAAAGGCCTTGGCGAAGATATCAGCAGTGTTGGCCTCAGAGGCCACGTAGGT